ATGTTGACCAGTTTGATGAAAGCATTTCAGATTGTATGTAAAACTAGCACATTGTACCCCATGATTGCATTCATGTACAGCTATGATTTAATAAAAAAATTAATTCATGATGAATAAAAGACTTAAATCTAAGGCATGGAACTATAATAATGCTAGAAGAACGTGTTGGAAAGATTCTTACAGATAGCAGCCTAGGGAAGAAATTTGTGAAGAAGACCCCTGTGGCCATCACAGCAACAGCAAAAATAAATAAATAGTACCTGATCAAATTAAAAATCTTTTTCACAGCCAAAACACAGTATACATCTGATAAAGGGCTAATAACTAGAATCTACAAAGAACTCAAGCAAATCAGCAATAAAAGTTTAAATGACACCATTAAAAAGTGCAAAGGACATGAACAGTGATAGTCTAATGGCCAATAACACATGGGAAATTACTTAACCTCTGTAATCATTAGGGAAATGCAAAACTACAAAGAGATATCACCTAATTCCAGTAAGAATTGCATTGCTCATATCAAAAAGTCCCAAAGCAAGAGACACTGGAATGAATGTGGAGAGGAAAGAACATTCATTCACTACTGATGGGACTGCAAACCAGTACAATCTCTATGGAAAGTAGTATGAAGGCATCTCAAAGAATTAAAGTAGACCTACCTTTTGTTTCAGGAATCCCACTACTAGGCTTGTGGGACTCTCACTTGAATGTTTACAGAAGTACAATTCACAATTGCAAAGAAGTGAAAAGAATACAAGTGTCCATCGATATGTGATGTGGTATATGGAGTACTACTCAGCCATTAAAAAAATGGCAACGTAGTATTTTTTTGTAACAACCTGGATAGAACTGGAGATTATTCTTCTAACTGGAGTATGGCAAAGTGGAAAAACAAACACCACATGTACTCACTACCAAACTGGAACTAGTCGATATTCTTGGTGAAGGGTACATTTATAACTTTGACTTAAAATGTACAGATGCAAATTATGTAACCAAAATGTGTGCACATATGTAATATTCTAAAACAAAAATTAATTAATTAAAAAATAGAAGAATATTACCTAATATTTAAAAAAAAGTTGGTGCATCAAATGAACACCACATGTACTTACTACCAAACTGGAACGAGTCGATATTCTGGGTGAAGGGTATATTTATAACTTTGACTTAAAATGTACAAATGGAAATTATGTAACCAAAATGTGTGCACCTCTGTAATATTCTAAAATAAAAATTAATTAAAAAATAAAAGAATATTACCTACTATTTTTTTAAAAAGGTTGGGTGCATAAACATTTAACATTTAAATATCCTCTTGTATTATTTTCTTGACCAGTATCAGATGACCATCTTTGTCTTTCTTAATTTTTGTTGCTATAAATCCACTTGTATCTGAAAATAAGATTGTAACCCCTCCTTTTCTTCTGATTTCCATTTGCTTGAAATACAGATTTCCATCTCTTAACCCCAAGTCTTAATTTGTCCTTCAAGGTTAGGTGCAGTTCCTGGAGACAGCACATGAATGGCTGTGGTTTTTCATTCAGTTTATTAGCCTGTGCCTCTTTAATGGCAAATTAAAGCCATCAACATTTACTGAGAGAACTAATAAGTGTGGTAGAGTTCTATTCATCTTACGTTGTGAAAGTTTAGTTAGTTAGTTTTATCCTTGCTTAGTTTTATCTTTTGCGCCATTGTGGAAGGTAAATTTTGACCTTTAGCTTCTGGATGTTTCTTTGCTGATGGTCCATTGTGATGGTCAGTGTGTGAATCACAAATTCAAAGATTACTAAATATAATTCATTGGTGACCTTAGAGGTGTTTTGAAACTTCTTTTTAAAACCTGTAAAATAAAAGAATGACTCAATCATTATTCAATGTTCCTATACAAACTATACCTCAGGGTAGCCAAATAATTAGGAGACCATTAATTATTAATTAATTAATTATTAATTAGGAGAAATTTCTCTGTAAAGAAGTATTTGAGCTAATAAATGAGGAAAGAATGTAGAATCAGTATATTGCTATATTAATTGCTATATTTTAATCTAATAAAATAATGGATTTAGGAATAATCAGCAATCACTGATACACATACACACATATATATAAATACAAATAAATAGATACAAATAACATGGCCATCCGATAGAAGAATACAACACATGAATGGCCTTGCCAAAAAAGAAACAAATATAATAACAATCCAGCAAACAAAAAATGGGATCTCATCTGATCAAGCCACAGGGTCTAATGCATCTGAGGGAATCTGTGGGTCACAGTGACATGGGAATTGCTTGGGAATGCAATAATTAGCAAGATCCAGAAAGTGAGCAAGTAGTTTCTTAAAGCATAATGAAAAGAAAGAAGACATAGAGGGGCCGAAACCTACACTTTCGCATATTTTGAAAATATTTCATGGTAAAATGATCTTTAAGAAATGAAATCCAAAACTTTGGTGCTAGCAGATAATGTTATTTGGCAGGAGGATTCAGGTTTTGCGATCTTGAAGTGGTGCGATTTAAGATTTTCTTTCTTAGAAAAAGAATACAAGATTAAGATTTCAATTTAGGAACAATTTACTGCTACAGGGCACCACGGCAGGTCCGAGTGTGCACACACTGGCTTCTTCCCCTTCATCTGATATGTGTTACTCCCATCTATCCATTGGCTCATCCTTTTTCCTCCCAGAAAGTTCTCTGGATACCCACATTCCTAGAGTTGTTCTTTTCCACTGTGTTTCTTGTGGACATGTTAGTTGCTGTTTCCTGTCTTTCTTCCAGAAATTAATGTTGGACTGTTACAGAGGGTGAAAAATGAACACTACTCCTAGTTCATTTTTCTTCTATAAGACAATTTCGTGTCAACTTTGTATTTATTTTTAACAAAGTAAGTCTTTTTATGCACATATATTCGTCAAACAAAGAAGAGAGAGAGAGAGAAATACATTTTCTTAAAAGTCCAAAAGCACAAATAGATGAGTAAATTCATGAAATTCAGGAAGTAACTAATCATAGGTCTTATTAAGGTTGCTCGGGTACATTAAGATGAGTTCAAATTCCTTACCACAATGGCCATCCAGGGTGGAGTCTGTTTCCCCACTCCTTGACCCTGTGCTGGACTTGCAACTGACCAGTAGAAGGTGGCAGAAGCAACATTGCAGACACTGAAAGAGTAGCTGCATAGAATGCTGCTGCCTCGTGGACAAGTCCAATTTAGGCTCATGGAGGAGAAGAAACATGTGAACAAGGATCCCAGGGTTCCCTGACATTCCAGCCCACACAAAGGAAGCCTGAACATGTCACCAACCTTATCAACTGATTCCTGCCCAAATTGCCAATGCACAACATTATGAGCATAGACATGGTGGTTGTAATAATAAGCTGGTTTATTACATAGAAACAACTATCTGATATAGCTATTTAATCTCAATTATCTAACGGCGATCTCCATTTTCACCGATGAATAGCCCAAGCATGTCTAAGAGAAACATTATCAATAGCAATACTTCTTTCTCTATTTTGTGAGTCATATGAAAGTTGTCAGAATCAAAATGGAATCACTAATGTTGAAAGCGAAATAAAAAAAAAATAGAACTGGGAAGTTCAAGAAGAAAGCATTCTTAGGTTTATATGCCTGATAACAAAAATTACCACAAATGATTACAGAAATTATACTCTTGCATGAAGGCCAATACATTTTCACACCAAAAATACTTCTAAAAGGACACCTGACTACAACTGCCTCTCCAACCTCATACTGGCGTCATTCCTGTTCTTGACCTTTGTAGCCAGGGGTAATTACATTAACATGCTAATATAATCATCCTCATTTTTTCTTTCAAAGACTTTTGCCTCACTTTACGTTCTGGAATACACACATAGTTTACTATGATACACATATTTCCACTATAATGCTCTTTTCCAAAATAAATAACTTTTCTCCTCAGACAGCCTCTCTGTGTTTGTTATTTAGGTTGAAAGTTACAAAGTGTTCAGTAATTCAATGGTATTTCCACTGCCATGTCATCCAGTATGTACTGGGACAATAAGACGGCCCATGTGCACATTTGTGAGACTTGCTGCTACAATCTAGTAGGTACCAGAGGCTGCAGCATAAAGGTACCATTAATGTTCAGGAAGGTAATTTAATCAACATTAATAAGGACTGTTAAGGTTTTTTACCCATACGTGCAATATATCATGCCAGTCAGCCCCCAGAACCTATGTCATAATTCGCAGTTTAGAGGTCACTATCCCTTCAAGATTCTACCAAGGCCCACTCACAAGCAAGTCAGAGCACATAAATGGGAGGAAAGCACTGCTGTGACATGCCACAGCCCACGTCGTGTTCCCTGGACTGCTAAACTCCAGGGCACAGCTAACTCTAATCAGCTCAGGATTTGGCCATCTCTACCCTGAACCTGGAATTGCAACCTTCAAAATGTAACATTGTTTTTCACCCCTTCTCTTTGGACCTCATTTTACAGAGGAAAGAAACAACCACAGGAAAAAAAGGATCTTGCCTTTTCCTTCCAGCCTTCTTTCCCGTCTTGCTGTTTTTACTCCTTCATTCTTGTTTTATTTTTTCTTTTCAGTTTTCTGCCTTTCCTTTTTCCTCTTACTCTTTTTACTTTCCATTCTTCCTTCCTCCCTCTGTCTGTCTTTATTTTCTCCTCTCACTGACACAAAAGAAGTTCAGCTTTCCAACTTTCACTTGTATTCCATTTGTTGACTCACCATGAATTGGGAAACTCTGACTGTACTATGAACTGAGGAACATCTTTGCAGATTACCATGTTTAAATTTCATTCGCTGTATTCTTTAATCTTACAAAACCCTGCAGTGAATTTCCTAGTCAGCTGGGTCAGGCAAACTACTGGGATTGGGCCCAAGCTCCTCCCTACTACAGCCTGTGCCCATTCTATTTATCAGGGCTGCCGGCTGTGTCTGCTGACTCACAACCGATTCTGCACCAACCATGGAGACTTTTGTGGAGCTCAGGACCAAAGCCAAAATGCCAACTGTGGGCTTAGGAACCTGGAAGGTAAAATGCAAATCTTTGGACACCCTGCTTTCCGTGGAGGGGGTGTCTGGGCATTTTTCTCCTCTCTGTGTACAGTCGGGTAAGCCCTGAGGTCAGGAGGGGGTTTGGGCAGATCACATTCAGCTGTGGAACTGGGATCCAGTTTGCTTTCCATTCTCACGGCTGAGTCAGTGTGCAAAGCTCCAGGATTGGCTTTTTCCAGCAGTGATGACAGCTTCTCCAGTGAGTGTCAAGCTTCAAGCAGGAGTTACACATAAAGTTCTTTTCTAAGATCGTTTTCTCTAAGACTCTCCCTGGCTTTAGGACACTGAAAGGGTCTAGGCATTTCAGGAGTCCCGCCCTCTGCTGTGTGCTGGTGGTGAGAGTGTCAGCTAACAAAACTCAGCGAGTCTGGGACATGCTGGGACCACAAAGCGCCTGGGCCGGGTGTCAGCAGTGGTGGGTCCCCTGGCTCTGTAAGTGTCAGCTGATAAAACTCAGCGAGGCACATCCCAGAGCTCAGGGAGGCACATCCCCGAGCTCTCTGAGAGTGAATCTGACATTGTTCCTCATCTTCTAACTCAGGCTTCTTTGCCTTTTCCATCAGTGTTAGCGACACCTGAGGTAGGTACCAGGAGCGATCCATGGATTTCCTCCTCCCTCTTGTCCCCCATGGCTAATCTCCCGACAGAGTCTGCCTTCTCTTATTCTTTCTTTCCTTTTTTGTATCTGTCTTTCCCATGTCCTCTTCCAGGCTGGAGGACAGGATCACTTTTTTAAAAATTATAAATTAATATGAGGGTACCAATCTTTAGGTTACACTGTTTTCATTTCCAAGGTAAAGTTCAAATTGTAGTTGAGCCCTTCACCTACGACAGTGGTTCTCAACCTTCCTAATGCCATGACCCTTTAATATAGTTCCTGTGGGTTGTGACCCACAGATTGAGAATCGCTGATCTAGGGAGAGAGCTGAACACCCTCAAATTGTGTACATTAGGTGAGATCCCACCAATCACCCTCTCTCCTCCCCTGCCCCCTCCTCTTTACTAGCTATACTTGTGTTTTTTCTGTCGTGTGGGCATGTAGTTGTTTATATATTGGTTTGATATTAGTATTGAGTACCTTGGATATTATTTCCCATTCTTGAGATGCTTTGCTAAGAAGAGTATGTTTCAACTCCATTCAGTAAACAGAAAAGATGTAAACTCTCCATTTTTCTTATGACTGAATGGTACTCTGTGGCATACATATACCACAGTTTATTAATCCATTCATGGGTTGACGGGCACCAGGTTTGCTTCCACATCTTGGCAATTGTGAATTGAGCTGCAATAAACATTCTGGTGCAAATGTAGGATTGCTTTTTTGCTTTGGCACTGGGTCTTTCTCAGGATGTGTTCCTGGTCAATCTGGGAGAGGTGATTTTCAGAGGTGATTTTCAGCCTCTCTTTCTTGAGTAATAAGATTTGCCCCAAATCACACTTTTAATCTTATAGAAATGTGGCAAAGACCCACTTCCAGATCTCTAGGGATCTGCTCACTCCTTATTCATTCATTAGTGTTTTTTAGAGCTTCAGAATTTCAGATGTAAGGAGATGAAGGGAGCTGTTTTCAAGATGTGGTCATGATGTGCTGCCACCTATCTGTGTGGAGGTGCAGAAAGGCGTAGTGCCTGAGAGGGGGACCCAGGCAGGGCTGCCTTTAGGTTTCTGGAAGCAGTCCATTTCTTGTCCAAGTGGTGGGGTAGCTGCACATTGCTGTTTTCTATACTTTCCAATGTGTGCGTTATTTCACAATAGAAGAGATTTAAGAATGATTTTGTGAGAGATCAGTTTTATGTGCTTTTACTTTTCTTATTATTCAACTATGGTGGACCAAATGTAATATTTCTAATATTATTTCTTTCTTTCTTTTCTTTTCTATTTATTTGCATTAAGGGAGGAATAGAAGCTCCATTCCAAAATGCTTCCTATTTCTCCCCTTCCTGAAGTATTAATTACACGATGGATTGCATCTACTGAGCTTACTGGGTCTCAGGTGATGTGCTGACTGTACAGTCATCGTGGCAGGAATCACCAGCACGGCCTCAGGAGGCAGGCGCTATTGTTTTTCATGTTTTGCAGACAAGGTTTAGAGGGACTGAATTATCTCAACCCAGATAAGACGCATGTGGTAGAGTATGGATTCATACTGCAATGATCCTCTTATAGATCTTTATCACTCACCTTTTGGGGAACTTGTCTGAAAGATCTTCTGGGTTATGCAGAGCTCAGTTTTCAGCCCAGTATTTAGAATGTTGCAGTGGGCACCATCTGCCCCTCACTCAGTGAAGACATTTCAGGAGTAACCTGGCTTAGAAAGGAATTAACTTTTAGCTAGACTAGGACATGAAGCCATAATCAGAAAATTAGTTCTCCTTCCTTTCTATTTTTTTGAAAATTGTCCCAAAGCATGTTTCCTCCTCAGTGTCCCCAGGCAAATGGGCAGAGAGACACTTTGGTTCAAAGAAGCTGGGCCATGGAGGAGCCTACTGGAGGGTCTCTGGGATAAGAGGATATGATGGTTACAGCGCCATGGGATGACCCTATTGGAGGGTCTCTGGGATAAGAGGATATGACGGTTACAGTGCCATGGCATGACCCTGTGGTCACAGCTACTCTGGGGACTGAGGTGGGAGGATGAACTTGAACCCAGTAGTTTAAGGCCAGCCTGGGAAACATGATGAGACCTCTTCTCTTAATCAAAAAAAAAAAAAAAGAACAAGCATATGATGGGCTTCTCTATTTCTTTATAGTCTCCTCCAGGCAAAGTCAAAGAAGCTGTGAAGGCGGCCATTGATGCAGGGTATCGCCACATTGATTGTGCCTATGTCTATCAGAACGAGAATGAGGTGGGGGAAGCAATCCAAGAGAAGATCCAAGAGAAGGTTGTGAAGCGGGAGGACCTCTTCATCGTTAGCAAGGTACAGGTGGCTGATGGACAAGTGGGGGGACTTCCCTTCAAGGGAAGCAGAAGTATGTGGACCATGTCAGAAGCAAGAACTCTATGGGCCTCCCATGCACAGACAGACTCCAGCCCTCCTCCTCTCTACCAGAAGAGTAATGGCCATGGATACCTTGACATCCACACTGTGGACCACTGTTGGGGCTGGAGATGTTACAGCCTGTAGTATGGTTTCCCACAGTTACTCAGAGTCCAGTATTCAGAAGCCTAAATAAGCCGCCTTTTCCCTGCCTGTGGGATGCATCCACCCAGGGGCAGTCAGAAGCCTAGGGTGTGGTCAGGACTCAATGCTGACCCTGCCATACAGCACTGGAGTCTCAATGACTGTGGCATTATGGAAAATGACAAAATTTCCACAAAATGCCATTGCAGAAAACAGTGGGGGCATTTTCTGCATGTATTTTCTGTCATGTATGGTGACATATGAATTTCTTTTCATTTCAGTCTAGTAAAAGGTGAATTATAAAACATTACAAGGGAAGAAGTGGCATTTGGGAGTGAGGGGGTTGAGAAACACTGGCTCTGTATAATACACAACTTGCCAGAAACACTAGTCATAGGTACTCAGGAAACACACGCATCTAGTGGGACCAATAGACCCCACTGTGTGCAGTGAGCAGGTGCAGAGAAACTCCTGGTGAAGTCAGCGTGGGAGCCTGATATGCTTGAAGACATGGAGTGCAGAAAAATGACCATCTGCTCCCAAAGGCCCAAGAATGCCTGATATTTACAAGCTAGACACAAGTCCTGCCCTTACAGAGCCAACAGCTGAGAAAGAGAATAACCCGGAAAACAAATATGGAATCAGTGGCCACACTTGCTAAATGATATGAGAGACATGTAGAGTTAAAAATAAATACCCTTCGACACTTAAGAAATGTCTGACCTGCTGAGCACTGGTGACCCTCCATACTGCGACATGTATTGTAATGGATTTTGTTCTTAACAGCCCGTCCCCAGGTTAGATCAGGGTGCAAGTCGCAAAGCAGGAGGAATGAGAATGGTGTGGGCCTTTGTTCTGCCAGTGTTAAGGCCTCACTGCCACTCTCTTTGCAGCTGTGGCCCACCTTCTTTGAGAGATCCCTTGTGAGGGAAGCCTTTCAGAAGACGCTTAAGGATCTGAAGCTGCGCTATCTGGACATCTATCTGATTCACTGGCCACAAGGA